TCAAGTTCATCTTCCTTGATTGGTTCTTTTCCTGGACGTTTTCCACGATCATAAGTCAAATTATTGCCATATTTTTCTGATTCCACAGTCGGGTCAGATTCTATCTCGGTATTGATAAATTCCGAGTTACTAAGAGTTGAATTTTCTTGACTTTGCTTGATATTCTCCATCATGTGTATGGGTATACATGGTTCATGCCAAGGTTTAACCCACACCATTCCACGAGCTTCGTACTGATCTCCATAATGAGTTCCTTCTCCATTGTTGGTAGGAAATTTCAAAGCATAATGAAAGATCGAGACAGCTGCACGAAGTTTGTATAAAGCTGTTCTTCCAATGATGGCATTGTATTGATTTTTGAGATCCATCACTTTGAATGTCTCCATAATGACTTTAGAAGCTTGTCCAGGGATTCCAAACCGAATTGGCATAGTAATTTCACCGAGGGTTGATGTAATTGTGCCATTAAAGCCTTGTACTTGATCCTTGCAAGGTTTCAACTCAGTCGGATCAATTCCCATTTGTTCAAATGTACGTAACATTAAGATGCTTGAATACGCTCCTGTGTCCACTAACATGCGATGTATCGGTATACCACAAATGGGTGCTGTGATTATTAAGGGATCTACATGAGGGTGAGCAAAATAACTTGCATCATCCACATTGAATGTTATTGGACAATTATTTCGAGCGTTAATTTTATCTCGGAGGTCAGTCGTTAGAACAGTTTTGCCCGAATTGAAAGCTTTTCGAGCATACGCCTTTATTTGCCGTCGTGATTCAGACGTTACATTGCTACTGTTATTGACCCGAGTAACATGATGAGAATTATCAGGATTGTAGTATCCTCCTCTGTACATCATTTCAGCATTCTTTATCAAATCACTTTCTTCTTGATCCATCATATATATCTCTTTATCGCTTGACCTCACTCGTTTTGGATTAATTGGATGTCCTCCATCTTCATCTTCATCTGGCAAATCCGATAGTCTTCCTTTTCGTTTATAATCAGCATTTTTGGCAAACCTTTGGACTTGAGGATGTCCAATAAGTCGCAATAAAGCAGAAAGTAGACCGAGACATTCATCAGTATTATAACCCGCTGACTTGTGATATGAACAATATTTTGTTTTGTCAAGTCTCTCTTCAGGAGTTCTGACAGGTCGAGGATCAGGAAGAATTCCTTTCCCTTTTAGTTCTTCAAATATAGTCGCTGCCCCTGCCGAAAATACCGTCTGATAGCTAGATTTGACCTCATTAAGATATTTGGTTCTAGCTTCTTGTACCTCCGGCATTTTAGGATTTCTGAATCGAGACTTATTCTGTTTAAAGAACTTGTTTTTCTTCTTCTTCGACTCTTGTCCGACATCCGACTTAGATGAAAAGTCAATATTCGGAACTGACATTGATTCCTCTGCAATAATATGTTGTTGAGCTCGAACCAAGAAGTCTTGAAACGAAGTCGGTTTATTCTGACAGATACTCTAACGGAACAATGAATTTGGCTTCAATCCAGCTATAGCTGTGACTAACAACGTCTCTGGATGACATTGTTCCATGTTCTGTATACGTTCGTTAAACCGAGTAATATAATCTTTGACACTTTCATTGTCTTTTTGCACAATATTCGCAATTGACTCTTTGGGAATTAGAGAAACTCGGGCCCCGATAAAATGAGATCGAAAAGCCGTTCTCAATTGTTGCCATGTAGAGATTGAACACCGAGGTAAGGAATGATACCACTTTTGAGCTCGAGGTCCCAAAGTTAATGAAAACATTCGACACCTGAGCGCTTCGGTTGCCCCATGTAGATCCATCCACGAAGTATATTGGCCAAGATGAGCATCAGGATCGGAAGCTCCATCGTATAAACCGATTTGTGGAACCTTTACCTTGGTTGGAAGAGGTTCCCTGGTCAAATGAGGGGCTAAGGGAGTCTCAACTTCTTGATACATCCCTTCCATTGGTGAAATTTGTCGTCGTGATCCCTCATGGTTATCTTGTTGAGTTTCTAACTCTGCAATTCTTTTTCTTAACATTTCCAGCTCCTCAGATTCGCGTCTTAGACGATTTCTTTCGATTAGACGGCGTAACTCGTTCTGCTCACGACGGGTATGATTTTGTTCCAGAGTATGCCGCAGATCAGACGGTTGATTATGTTGTGATATTTCTGCTAACGAAGGAGCTTGTTGTCGTGGTCGACGTCCAGAATGGCTTTCTGCAGTGGCTTCTGATCGAACTGCTTCTGGAATATGAGTTTGTACGGGAACTACTCCACGGTTTTGAGATGCAACATCATGTTGTGATTCATGTGTGTGTGGATGAGAAGTTGCGTGTGATGTAGCAGGAATATTATTTCTTTGTGGAGCTGATGTAGGATGTGTTTGTGGATTAACCGCTGCGGTTGGTTCTATTCTTGTTCGTGCCATAAAATCAGTTAAATTTTTCAAGAACTCTGGATCTTGAAATAAAGCTGAATAATCAATTGATGTTGATGGCACAGCAGAATTTCCAGTTGTATGAGTTGGATGACGATTGATTCCAGTATCTGGATTACGTTCATTTCGCCCAGAATTCGACATCCTTTTGATACGTTGTGTACAAGACAAATAATCGAAAGAGTAGAGGTGCCCTCCTTCTAGCGCCAAACTGTTGTTGTCTTGGATTAACAACTCAAAATTAAATACTGTTGATGTAAAGGAAACAAAGATGATTGTTTAATTTGATTTTATTTGTTAGTTATATTCACAAGAGTACAGGAGTCGGTTATTTGTTGAAAACCGAGGTCATCATAAGTCCGTGTACAATGTGTTTCTCAAAAAGAAAAAGGGATCCTCGTACTATCATAAATTCTGCTATTTATAGTACGGTAATTTTTGTCTTCTTGTTTAAAACGGATAAAGACGCATTTAATGTTGAGCTGCTTCACTTTAAGTGGTGGGAAGCATCAATGATTACCTTTTGTTTTGCTGGTCCAATCAGATGCTTCCAATGATTACTTTCTGTTCAGATATTTGGACTTTATGGTAGTCGGTTGAAGTAGAAGAACTTATTTTCGTCATAATAATCGTTGGACTGAAGTCGGTCTTCTAGTATTGGCTTCAGATATCGGTTCTTTTGTCAGTCTTCGGAAGTCGGTAATTAATAAATACTGCCCTGTAACCGACTTGTCTTAAGTTTACCTTTTTCTCGAAAGATTATCTCATGTATAAAGCGATTAATCTCTATCTTCAACCTCTCAACCAAGTCGGATATCAACAAAACCTTTCAAGTTAACAAAAAATAGTAAATTAATCAAAAATTTAAAAAAAAAAAAAAAATAGAAAAAGATAATCAAGAATGATTTGTGGGTTTTTGTACACAATCTTATTATAAAGGTCAAACAAGCATCCACAATTTTGAAAGCATTGAGTACATGATCAACAAGCATTAACACATATAATTAAACTATAAACATGTTCCCATCTGAACTTCAACATAAATTTTTAAAACTTGTGAGAAAACAAATATAGCCACAGCCATAGGCCCACAAACCACAAATTGGGAGAAAAACATTTTTCAACTTTCAATTCACATTGGCAATACAAAGAGACAAACCAAAATTATATCAACCTATTGACTGTCAATGACAAATTACAAAACAAAGATATAGACAGAAAAATTTGAAAAACCAGTCACCAAATGGCAATTCACAAAATTCACGTCCGACACCAATTTAAATTCATACTCTCAATAAACCAAAAATAAAGGGCTCGGAGTCACTCTCGGACCCGCTCACTTGTTGGCTGCCACCCGCGACTGCTCGATCCTCGAAGCCCGAAGGTGTCGCTTCCTCCGTTCTTCGCAATTGCCGCACCCGCACACCGATCTCGCAATCGTCGGCGCCAAATGAAAGATGTCCTGTTCACCTAGCAGAGGCTTGAAAGAACAAGGGTGAGAGTCGAGGGATTTGAAACTTGGAGATTACAGATTAACTGGGGTAATCAATTTGGAGCCCATCGTCTATTTTGTGAGAAGAAAAGTGAGAGTTGTACCGACTCTAACAAGCCCAACAATGGATTTAAATTTTTTTGGGCTTTGTTGTTGTCTTGTTGGGCTAATTCAAGGGCTAACAAGAAATTTACCTGGGGCTATTTAACAATAATAATCAAATATGTAATTTTTTTTTTTTTTTTTTTTACCTGGGGCTGGAGCCCACCCTAACCCATGGGTGGCTCCGCCCCTGAGTCTTGTACATATGCATTTAAATGAATATATATATATATATTGAAAAAGAGAGGTCAATAAATCATTTATGGAAACTTTTAAAAAATAATGAGTCAACCATGTTGACTTACTGCTTATGGAAAAACCAATTCAAAATTCAAAATTCTATTTATTTTTCAAATCAGCCGGATTTTTTTAATATGGATAAAACAACAATTCCATATTTAACGCTTATTCCCAGGTGGTTGATTATGTAATTCCATATTGGGCATTCAACTATGTATATTCAATTTGTTAATTCAAGTTTAATCGTTTGAGGAAAAAAAATACTTAACACAATAGGTGAGATTTATTATATAGCATTTTAAATTCTGTTTTCCAAAGTTCCAAACATCTAATTTTATATTATTTTGCTAATTGTGTATATCAAATACAAATTTTTGTTTGTACAAGGAATGGTGTGTACAAGAAAGTCTTCAATAGTTTATGATTTTTTAGTTTGTATGTGACACGTTTACTTTTGTTACATATATAACATGCCTAGTAATTTTAATATTGAATATTCGAATTATTCCAATAAAAATATCCTCCCATGCATAGCACGGGCCGTGACTAGTGGCTAAGAATGTGAATGAATATTTAAATGGAAAGATATTTAATGGAATGATGATGTGAGCATTAGATAGATGAGAGTATAAATTGTGACTCAATGAATGGATAAGGGTGTGAACTCCGTTAGCAGGAACTCAATGTCATCTAACACCCAAAAAAACAAATGAAGGAAAAAAAAAAGATGACGTTCAAATGACTATAAAAACCTACAAGTTACCACGGAGGGCAAAGAACCATGAGATGACCTACAACTTACCATGGACGTCAAAGAACCATCAACAGAAGCCAGATATAACTAGAAAAAGTAATAAAAATGGAAATGATAGTTGTTTAGCAAGTTTCATTAACAACTTCATAGGCAAAATGAGTGCACAATATGCACATTTCCAGGTGGTCCCACGTCCAAAATCAGCCCTACTTCCATACATTCAAGTTTAGTTTCTACAGTACCCATTTAAATAGACAATATTAGTAAGGCAACAACACCTTATAATCCACCGTAATTGTCTCGGTCCAAATTGAGGGTAAGAGTGAACCACATCATCCATTTCCTCCATATGTCAACAAAAATGAGAGGAAACAGCAAAAGAGCAGCATTTACCGTTCCTTATGATAAATGAGACCAAGTTACACATTCAAAATAGCACACAAAAGCACAAAAGATGAGCACATATATTAGCTGCTCAGAGTTGAGAGCATGCCTCCAGCAGCAGTAGGGATGACGACTTCCCAGCCTGGTCCCTTTAGAGGCACAGCATTAATATTTTCATCCTTTTCTGATGACGAATTAACACAAGGAACCAAATCAGAACGGTCGAGAACTCTGTCAAGGTCCTCATCACTAATATCTGTCTGAATCCATTTCTCCTCTTTATCATCTTCTTCACCAAGTAGAGCCAGCAACTCCTCTTCCTAACAAAACAGTAATATCATACATCAGTGTTAAATTGATGGCATTACAATTTTCTTCCTCATATACAACAGAGATTGAGGAAGAATTGATTTTTGAACTATGTATACATGTAATGTGGCACTGACCGTCATGGTGTCTGCGCCATCAGCTTTGGATCTTTCCTGCTTAAATTGACCTTTGCCAATCACAACATGTTCGAGCTTCAATTTGCTGAAAGCTCTTTTCAGTATGCGACCCTACAAGTTAAGACACAGAAATATTTAAGATTTAGAAAACACGTATGCTGTGTCTTCATCCGTAGGAAGAGCCAAATGTGTCATTTGTGGGGGCACCTCAACAGATTGAGCTGTAGCTAGTCTGTACACATGAACAGGTTTTGTTTGACCTATTCTGTGACACCGATCCATTGCCTGTAGATCCATCTGAGGATTCTGGAAATCCAATTTTAACTTTATCAATTTTCTATTTATAGAAAGTAGCAACTTTTCACGTGTGAAAAAAGAGGGGAGAGAAACGAATAAGATACCCAATCACTGTCGTACAGAATGCATGTATCGGCTGCAGTAAGATTAATTCCCAGCCCGCCAGCTCGGGTGCTCAGGAGAAAGATCCTATAGTTACTGTTTGCATCATTGAACTCCTTAATCTGTCATATTTTCACCACTTAGTATAAAGGACAGTTAAATTTGCAATGTCCGGCAGACAAATAACTAATCACATCACACAGCATAAGGTCCTATAGAATATTTATTGACTTGGCCATGTGAGAAATGAGATGCTCATTACAGAACACTTGAGTACACCATACTCCCATGGACATAACCATTTTTCATTTTCATCTTTTTACACATCCTATCAGTATCTACCAGAGAGAATACAACACAAAAATAAAAATGGTCATATAACGTGTAAACTATACGGGAAGGGGAGTAGAAAAAAGTGAGGAGACACAATGCAACTGTGATACACATGATAACCCAAAAGTTTTGATCAACCTTTCATCATCATCTGAATGATGACTCTTTATACAAATGATAAAGAGTTTCCTCAGATCATTTATAAAATAGTTATTAACCTCCATTTAGTATGGATGTGGTAACTTTCAGGTTACAGAAACTAGTATATTCTTAACCAGTGTATAACGTGAAGCAAACAATCTTTTCAGAATATTGCTGGAAACAAAGACAGAGAACGGGGACAGTTGATTTCAAATGTTCTCAAAATAAATGGAAGAACTGAAATTAATCAACTAACATAGTAAAAGTTCATTTTGTCGGTCAGATGAGATGAAAAATCTCATTAGGAAAATTGGGAAAGTAAAATGTGTTATAGAGATAGGAGAATTATGATTGGTAGTTGGAAAGATGTGAGTAGATGAATACAAATTTTATAGAGATGCATGGTCATGATTGGTTTTTATTTAAAATTAAAAATTGTTTTGATAAAATTAATGTGAGAAGAAGTGAGGAGTGAATAGTGCATTTTTTGTTTCGTNGTCTTCTTCGTTCTGCCAGTTTCACACTGCCATCAATTCTGCAGACTTGAAACCCCTTTTCGCTCAAGTAGTAATCCATAATGTCCAATATCTTAGTCCATTGAGAAAACACCAAAACCTGTAATCCCAGATAGTTAAATGAGGAAACTACAAAATTTGCATCTTTATATTCGACAAAAGGAGAACAAGCCCTCAGTTATACTTTGTGCTTGCGAGCAAATAGCTTAAACAGTAATTTATCGAGTAACTGAAATTTGCCACATTGCCCAACAATCTGTTCCACAGGAGGATATAAGTCTGCACAGAGAAGACAACATTAAGAGCTCGGAATGATTTAATTTAATTATAATCCAATGAAGAATTTGGGAAACATACAGGACCCATCAAATGCAGACTCCAAAAGATCAGGGTGGTTGCAGTTCTTCCTAAGTTGGATCATCAAATTATTGAGCTTTCCTTTCATTCCATGAGCTGCATACGTATATAATCAGGCACTAATAAAATTAAAATTGGTTTATAAAATGCAGGTAGCTTGTAAAATAGCACACAAAATGGAATTTGAGACCCTTGGCAGCCAATGACAAGTGATCTGAGAATAAAAGTGCCAGGCTGACTAGAAGCAACAAAAGAAAACTCTACATCAACACTTAACAATTATCATGGAATTAAGTTTCGATTCAGTTAATTTTATGCAACTATACAGCCTAAATAACAGTATAAAACTAAACTAACACTAATCGAATACTGATAAATTACCTAGATATCCAGACAAAAACAACAACAAACAACAACAACATAGCCTTTTAGAGGATGCTTGGATACAAAACTTATCCAAAAAATCCAAACATTTTTAACTCAACCACTTTTTTTAACTCAACTTTAACTCAACCCAACTATCATTAATATTATTAATATAATTAAATAATATCAACCAATCATTCTTACACATCACATCAACCTTAATTCACTATTCATCCACTCAAATAATTTTAATTAACCATCACTTCAAATCATTTCTCTCATACTTTTACATTAAATCAACTTTAATTATTTTATTTAAAATATTATTTTAATATACCCACTAACAACTAACCATACCACCTTTTTCAAAATTAACCAAACTAAATCAAAAAATCCAAACAAATCAAAAAAAATTTATATCCAAGCATCCTTTTAGTCCCAAGCAAGTTGGGGTAGGCTAGAGATGAAACCCAAGAGCTATATTTTAACAGCTATTCTTAAGAAACTTGCCAATTAGCAATTCCTATAAAATTGAAAATGACCTATACATTACCATTGGATGTTTTCTCTACCAAATGAACCTCCAACGTCTTATTAATGAGATGTTCCTGGAAGCTCTTCTGATGTTCCGTCATTGTGGCATACAAGATAATTTCTTTCTTCTGTGGAAGCATTTGTTCCACATCTGATTTCATTCTGCGTAAGAGGAAGGGACGCAGTATAGCATGGAGTTTGGCAACCACCTGCAGATTTATAAGAAATGGCACATTTGAAAATAACCATAGCTATATTCTTTTGTGGAAGCTCATTCCATTATTATGAGCAAACCTGTGCCCTTCTTTTCTCTTCTATATCTTCTTTGAGGGCTTCATTAGTGCACTTCCCTGAAAAGTCAAACCTGAAGATCCACAAATGGAATAAAACAGTGAGAAAACAAAAGAACTCGAGCCTTCAACCAAGATGTCTGCAACTAGAGTAGAACAATAAAAAATAGTTGCACAGTTTCATAATTTGCTGCTGAGAGAAGCATTCAGGATCATAAAAAATGAATGGGTAAGGAGTTGAGGCAAGGATGTCAACATTATTTCGCAAAAAGTATTCAATTAGATCGTGTGCCAAAGTCAGGCAGTTTATACTCACTGCAGAAAGACAGCTAAACCATCCACACTTTCCTTGCTAGCCTTTGTTAAATAGGTGTTTTCTTCGTTGCATTTCATTTGGAATAACCAGTGGGAAAGTACAAGCATCTTTGTGAGACATAGTAATACTGTTATGCAAGCAGAACTGTCAGATTGTCAAAAACAAAAATTCCTAAATCAACACCCATGTGTTATGATTCTGTAAGTGGGTTTCCATGCTCCAGGTCTACGGTACAAATCCCTCTCCAACACTTGGTATCATGGAAAGAGTTCTAAAAGATTCTACAAGGAACTGCAACAAAATAACTTGCCGAACGGTCTCACCAGCTTACACATTCTGGATATGGGTAATATTGACACACTTGTTGAAAAATGTGGCTATGCAAGTACATCTTTGGTGAAACGATAATTGGACAAGACAAGCTGTAATTTTTTTACTCAAAAATGTAGTGAACTAATAAAATTGTAGAATCAAAAAAATTGCAAATGGTACATGTAATCAAAAGAAACAATTTCGGTCAAATATATTCTATACAAATATGAAAACTCACAGATACTTAAGATACAATATCATACGGAAGCATCGAAAAATTTAGAAGTTCCCTTACCAGGACTCAAATTCTTGATGGGACGAAAAGATATCGGGAAGAATAAAATTCAACAGTGACCAGAGCTCAGCTAAGTTGTTTTGCAGAGGTGTGCCGGTCAAAAGAAGCTTATTCTCAACAGATAAATACTTCAGTTGCTTCACTAATTTGCAGTTTGAATTCTTCAATCTGTGTCCCTTCAGAGAAGAATATAATTCATTAATAGGGAAGAGCTAATACAGGTGTAGTTCATAAACTTCAAGGCATGTATCACAAACGAAATTCAGCAGGAAACAGGTATCAAATAAAATAAAATATACCTCATCCACAACCAGGTATTTCCAGCTGTAATGCTTTAATTGTCGTCTTGCATCTATCATGGCAACTTCATAAGAAGTAATAACAATAGGGAATTTGGGACCTATTGTCCTGGGCATGTGATTTCTTATAATCTCATCCCTCTCTTTCCTATCACCATGGTAAATGATCGCATTCACAGAAGGCACAAACCTAAAACACAATATTTACATTAAATTACATTCACATGTGAAGAATGGAATAGAACAAGTCACCATATGAAAATGGTATTATAGAATGTACCTCTCTATTTCGCTCAGCCAATTTGAGAGAGTGGAGAGGGGAGCAATGACTAAGTAAGGCCCATGCATTCCATTTCCTTTGAGGTGTGCAAGAAAAGCAATTGTTTGAATTGTTTTCCCAAGCCCCATTTGATCAGCAAGGATTCCATTAAGTCCATTTTGCCACAATGAGATCATCCACTTTACGCCTTTGATCTGATAAGACTTCAATTTTCCACCAGTCAAAAGGGGTACAAGTTCTTCCTGCTCGTTCTGATTTCTCTCTTCCTCCGTAAGACTCAAATCTTTGGTAGAATCACCATCTTTGTGTCTTGTAAGCATAGCTGCAACAGCTCTCTTGGCTTTCCTCTATAGTTGCAGAAAAATTGTTCAAGCAAAACAGATCTCATATGTTATATTATACATGGAAAATGAAAAAAAAAAAATCATACAAAATGTCCCTCAGCATATAATACAATCAACATAAACGTATCAACAAAGTGAACATTTGGAGAATTTTCATTATGACTTAATTAAAACAAGCCAGGAAGAACGGTCGAAAAAAAGTTACATTATCATAACTTGCGGCAGCCTTTCTTTTGGAACCACGACCCCTCTTGACCTCTTTAGCTGCCTTCCCATCATCCTCCAGACCATTCTAAATGTTATCAAATCAGTCACATTAGCAGAATTACCATTGCAAATCAAGTCTTATCTAACGGGAGAAAGCAAACCTTTGTGATGTCATCCATTTTCTCAAGCAAGAACTCGGAGTAAAGTTGGGTCTGTGTTAAGAGCTCATCTAGTTTAGTGAACTGGATGTCATTCAGCAGAGGTTCTCCTTTGGACTCATTATCCTTTCCATCTTCTTCTTTCAGTCGCACTTCCAGCAGCTTTTCTTCCTCTTTTACTATGGTTTTTGAAACAAGAGTACAAACTCCATTTTCTGCATCAACTTCTACCTCCAACTCAACACCAGGGCTCTCCTTGCAGTCCTTCAGCTCAAAATAACATCAGCAACACGAAAGGCGAAAAAGAAATTATCAGCTAAGCAAAGAATGGGACTATGTATCACAAATTTTGAAATCTTAGTCAGTTAGTCTGTGGGATTGGGATCCTAATGTATGGTAAATTAAAGGAGAGACACCCTATACATTGGCAAAAAGAATTCAAAACATGGCGAACAAAGAGCTCAATGGCTGAGAAAAGGGAATATTCTAATAGGAAAAACGTTCTTACAATACCACAACTAAAAAATTCAAAAAAATAAGAAATAAAAAAAACTCCATGATCAAAAATAAATAAATAGGACACACTTGTACGTCAAAACAGCACAAAAGCTAAAATATTCCGCTGATATTCGACCAAAAAAAGATCTGTATAATTTAGTGTGCTGGCTGTTT